GGGAGTCTTTTTCGAAAAACTACCCCATTGACGAAAAACGGATGAGTCTTGCACAAAATTGAAATTTGAGTAAAAATGAGCTGATAAATTGCTGAGCTTGAATCAATATTTTAAAATGCCCATAAGTTTTGCATTGAATTCATTTTGCGATATCTTACGTAAGACAATATTGTAATTGCTTACGCTGTTATCTATCCTCTCCGTGGTTTTTCTACCTTTAGAAAATGTAGAAAAAATATTAAATTTTCTTAATCTGAAGTTTGACAGTTTTTTTATTTTAATTTCTCAGGAAAGACTACTGTGGTCGGAACGTTCTGAAAACTGCAAAACTGTTTATTTAATATTTTTGTTCCAGTTAGCAAAACAGCCAAAAATGCTTCCTGGCAACAATTCAATAGCGAATTCAGTTCCTAAAGAAGATTCTATGTCAGTCCACAACACAACTGTCACGAACCACTTGGACCAACTAAGGTCACGTGAAAACCGAAAATTAGTACCTTCAGAGCAAATGCGAAAGGATGGTTTCGAAGTTTTAACAGTGAAGAGTTCTTCCGAAAGCCTCTCGTCAAAATTAGCTCCTCTGAGTCAACGCCCTATTTGTCAACTCAATCTGAGCCAACCAAATGTCAACTCATTCAATAAGCAGATCTTAGTTACGCAACCCTGGTTAGAATCAATCATAGTTTTCTCAGAATTACAAACACAGATTTCAAATACAAATTTGATACTAATTTTGAAGGGGAGCGCACGCCAAAAAACGGCATTTTCGACGGTTTTTCTTCAAAAAAATTGCCTGTGATGAAAATTTTTGGTCGAAGTAGGGTCTTTATAGTGTTCTGGGAGCGCTCTGAAAACTAATTTGGTCGACCTAAAAAAAGGTCGACAAAATGTTCTAAAATTTTTTGAAATGCTACCCCCCTTCCTCCTCCCCCCCCCCCTTTGAAAAATTCCTGGATCCGTCCCTGATTTAAATTAAACTTTTAAATGACAAGTATTATCCCGGGTACGGATTTTGCACTGAATTTTACGGTTGTTTCGTGCCTATTTTTTATGGCTGATTCTTAAAACAATCTTGCTACTTACTCATAGGACCAGTTCTCAATGCCAACAAAGCTCATCAAATCAAAATACCCGATTCCATCAGGAAGATGGTTTCTCGCCCTTGGATTTGAGAAGAAGTTTGTCTGAGAATTCTGGCGGACAATGTGACTTCCGAGATAGAGAATCAATGCCTAGTGTATGCAAGTTTGCTATGAAGAGGACGTCAAATTTCTACGATCAGTCAGATAAGTCAATCAAAACATCTCGATTCTACACCTGCGACGAACAAAAAGGTATTTTAGAATGCACCAAATTAACGTCCTCGTCCATAAATTGATTTAAGGGGCAGGATGTTAACTTGGTTCTAAAATGGAAATTTCAGCCAATCAGAATCAAGCTTTTTACACGCAGCGCTTACCAAGTTCAATCCAACATTAATATTGGTAAGGAAGATCTTAACTTGGTCAAGTTAGGGGTAGGTTAAGTTGGTCCTTTAAAATTTTTAGCAATGTTCTTTTTTTACGTTAAAGGGTCCAAATTTTTAAGTATAATGTATTATTTATTATTAATAACGAGTATACTTCAAACTTTAATTGAAATAAAAGTTATTCTTTAAGTTTTTTAGTGAAAAAGGGAAGAGTCTTTTCTTTATACGAATATTGATTATAACCAGGGGCGGATTTAGGGGGACGGGGGGATTTAGTTGTTCCTACTTTTGAACTAAGGATAAAATATTTGTGCTCGGTATGTTTTTTTAGCGTTTAAACGGTATTCACGCCTGAGCTCAAATTTAGTTCGAGTTTAAAAGCTATTTTAACTGTGATCATTTTTTTGTCAATTTATAGGAGTTTTAAATTTGTCAGTTCCTTGTTTAGGACAATTAAATGCTATATAACTCGTGCTATTAACGCGTAAGCTAGCAATTTAAGATGGCAAGCAATTTAAGATGGCTGTTTCAAAGGTGTTTAAAATTGACTTGGGGCAAGCTGCTTGGACTTGTGAATACTTTATTGGACGCCAACTACACTAAGCTTGTCAAATTTATATTTTCAATAGCGCGAAGGTTGAAGATTTTCTCTTTTTAATTTTATGGATTTTCCAATTTACAAAGATTTTATGAAAACTACTCCAAATATTTCTAGGGGCAATTCATCTTTTTTGGAATATTTAGATTTGATTTAACTTTCGCAATAACACTCAATTTTATGCTGTTATTTCAACATTACACTTTAACTGTCTTAAAAATTTTTATCCTATTCAGTTGATGAAGTTTCCATTTTATTATTCATATCCGCTTGGTCAATATAAGTTTTAAACTAATGTTTTCCATCTGTTTTTTCTGATGTCTTACTGAATAAAGGTACCTAATCATCAAGTTTTTGAGTTTGCTAAGTTGAAACACGCTGTACGCAGAAAAGAAATTGTTGTTGTTTCGAAGAGAGGGAGGTAATATTTGTGCCCAGTGTGTTTTGATTTTTTTTTATTTGATTTACTGTCCCCTTTTGATAGAATTTTCTAAACCATCTGAAAGGGAATGATTTTGAATACCCAGACTTTTATAAAAATGTTTTCACCAGAGATTTTTTTTTTCCAGGAGATTGAGTTTGAGACTCCATGAACTAAAAAAAAATTTAAATGTGGATTTTGTTCAAAACGCCAGCAGACGCAAAATTTGTCTTTTTGTACATTTAATGGCTTGCTCGATGTGAAAATTTGAGAACAAAATCGATAAAAATTGCCGAAATTTTCAAAAATGCTTAGTTTCTTTTTCGCATATAATTCAATAATTTTTTCTAAACTAAAATTTTTCATGGATGTTAACGGGTAGAAGGAACAATCAGGTTTTCGTCCTGATACGAGGACTCTTGTCTATCTTTTGCTTTTGTTATCGCAGTTAAAATTTGGGGTTTTTATCTCTCTAGTTTTCGACGTTAAAGTTAACTTCTAGCTCTTAATTACAGGCCGCTTTACATGCTGGAACCAGTTCTAAACGGTGGCTTCCCTCATGCTTGAAGGTCCGAATGCTTGAAATTAATTTTAGCTTACTTTCAGCCAATTAGAATTGAGTATTCAAAATCTCAAAGTAAATCGCAAAAATCTCAAATTAAGAAAATAAATCCAGGCCATTAGTGTTAATATTGACCGATTAGATAAGAAGCAGATGAGTTTTCAAGACTGAAAAATTCTTATGATTTGACCTCATTAATCTTGATGATTATCTGAATAGTTTTGGGGTTGTAACCCGCAATTTGTAATATTTTTGATTATTTTCCACTGATTTAATACATTTTCTGTTAATATTGACTTCGATTTTGTGAGAAAGGCATTTAGCCAATAGAAACGCTTAGAGATTTTGATTGGTTGAAATTTTTCAAGCATTCGGTCCTTCAAGCATGAGAACCCTCCCGTTCTAATTTAGTGTTTATAAACCAATTATATAATTGATAAGTTATCACTATAAAATATTACTAACTAACCAATCATATTCCATCTCTAACATTGACACTTATTTGTAAGTGCTGAAACTACTTGCAGTTTCAGCACCAGAACAATTTAAATAAAACTTCGAATACAATTGTTCTCCTTCTGGATAAACTCCAAGAACTAACTCGCATAAACCAGTATGCACTAGATCTATTGAGACTAGGAGATATAAGAGTAAGATTAAGATTGGTATTAGACTAAGAAGTTGCACGAATCTATCTGGCCGAAAATAAGATAGCGTGACGAGCAGATGGTGTACCTTGTCTGAAATTACTCTATACTCCAATAGGTCATAACTCGATACTCGGTTACTTTCGGCTATCTAGCGTGAGTCTTATGGATAAAATGAAATTACCTGTTCTAGAATGCAGAACTTCTTCAGCGACAGGTTATAACGAGCCGAATTACCCTGTCTATGAATTAATTTCGCCCCCCGAGCCATCTTCCAAAAGAAACAAGACTTCTCGTGGAGGTCTTGTGAATGATCCTGTGATTCATCGAGTCAAACAACTCATGAAAACGAGCGAGCGCGAAAATTACATGTCAGTTTTTTTTACAATTTTTTTATTTCAAAATTGGTGGTTCGGAGTCAACAAAATTTCAGTTAGTTGCGGGTTTTCATACAAAAAAGGGGTTGCGGGTTTTCACATAAAAAAACTTGATCAAAAAATTTAGAAGTGCACCTTGAAAAAGTTTCGATTTTCTTGCGAACGAGCCCTTGGACTGACGCCCCTTTCCATGTAAGTATTTTCCTAAAGATTCCTACTACGATTTTTTTGACGACATCTAGTTTTGGTCGAACAGCCCTAAGCTTTTAGAAAGTTTTAGCAGCACAGGACAGGATCTTCGTAGTAGGATTTTAGGAGAGCTCTCGAAATTAATTTGCACCCCACCCCATAGAAAATGCTAGATCTGCACCTGCCTTCTTTAATTCTGCTAAATTAAAATTTAGCTAAAGCCTCGTTTATATTGGACTGTTTCATTGAAAGATTGCTATTACTTCACCGCATTTTTAGCCCTCATTACAAAGATTTTGGCAAACTGTTCGAGGCTAATCGCAACCCGCTTGCTAGCCGATCTCTGAATTCAGCTTCTGAGCTCAACTTCGAACTGAACGCAGGTCACTCCAAATCAATTCACGCTTCGGTTCGTCAACGAGACAACCCGATGTGTTTCTCGGTGACAGAAGCATGTAAAGGAGGTCCGACTCTGGAACCCAAGCGGGTAGTAGCACCTCGTGTTGAGGTTCCGATTACGAATCCTGTGAAACAAGTAGTAGACGAATACGCAGCACCGAAGGCTTCCAAAATGAAGTCCATGGATGGCTCAAGATCTGACCAAAGCAAATGTGAAAGTGCTTCGTCATCAGGAACAGAGCGAAAAAAGGTACTTTACACTATAATCTGAAGTTCTACCGCCAACATCGGTTTTTTAAATGGGACAATTTATTTAGTCTTTTAGAGAACTTTGCCCAAATGGTATACCAAATCAGACAATGTACTTCATCAAAGAAAAGAAGGCTCCATTTTGGAATCGCTAAAAGCAGTCCCTTCTCTATTTTGGATTCCGCTTACAAAATTGTCTAGTAAAGTGTACAATTTTTCTGGTGCCTAAAAAGGTGGATTTATTTAACCTATTGAACATAGTTCTTTTTTTAGTGGACGATTACATAATTTAACTCTAGTGGTAAGTGTTGTAGATGATGCTTAACTTGTTGTGTAATCTGAATATCATTTTCATCAACCTTGTCTGTAGTTTTGCATGTTATCACAAGACCCCCAACAAGTCAGTTTTAGTGATTCCTAATCTGCACTAATAAAATCTAATAAGTCAAATGCCTATGCTGCGTTTTGGAATCAGGCTCTATCAAAAATTCTGTCATCTAGAACAACTTAAACTTTCGTTTTTGCTAACTAATTTTTTTCACAATTAAAAGTTTACTAAAATTTTTCAAGGTTAACGGGTTTGTTAGTCCAGATCGAATTTGGTGTATATTGGAGGCAATAGGTGCCCTTAGAATAAATGGGTATCCCGAAACAGTACCAAAGAGGGACCCTTTGGGTGGTCAGGGTTCGAATACCGCATCTGCTCCTTTCCTAAAACGGCTGCTCGTTATAACGTCATTTCAATTTTAGATTAACGTCTCCAAATTCAGCCAATTTTTGAAGCTCGTAAAGACCCTTTAGTTCAAATAATATTTTAAAAAAAATTTGGAAGTTATTTTGGAAGGTTAGATTAGTCATTTTTTCCTCCATGTATTTTATCAAAATCTTGCTATCTACATACATTCTGAATTCGCGTGCATTCTGAATTTGCGTACATTCTGAATTTTCGATGCTCCTATCTGAAAAAAGGCTACAGCAAATAAGTCAACTAAAAACATAATCTGCAAAGCTGTGACTTTTACTGGTCATCAGATGATTTTTAGGTTCGATTTGACATCGAGTATCTTCTTTCAAGCAACTCGCATCCTTCTCAGCGCAATTCACAATCGTCGCTGCGTTCGAACCATCTGTCGTGTAGTCCTAAAAAGTCCACTTTGATTGCACAACAAGCGTCACGTGTCAAAACTCTACCAAAGGCCAGAGGTCAAGGAAATTCCAGGGCCGCCGGTTCGAAACATAGTCCACGTGGAATCAGCGAGTGCGATTTAGTGGTGGTAATTTACATGGTCAACAGACTGATTGAGCAACTTTATGGAATCGAGAACTTTTTGGATGCCGAAACTAAATCGTATGTAGATTTTATTCAAAAAAATCCCATATGATAAAATTAAAGAATTTTTATTTTGAGAGAGCGTAAGTGTTTTTCCGGGTTTCAAACTTACAAAACTACTATTTTCATTCAACATATCAGTTGTTTCTTATTTGAAATTTGTTTCCTTCTATAAAGATAGGCGCTTAAGTTTTGTGTCAGTTAAGTTGCCCTTAGATTACTCTCCTGAATCTGAAAAAACTGGCTACCTTCAATAATTAGTTTCTAAAAATATTTGCTTTTGACTTTTTTTGGTGTTGGCATTACAAATAACACTCCTGGCTACCTTCAGATATTAGTTTTTTTGATGTTTTGTTGGCATTACAAAATCATATTTTTGCTTTTTCTGGCGTTAAAGTGGTGGAAATTAAGAAAGTAATGAACGGTTTAGCTCTAAGTAAAAACATTACTATAATTGTTTTTCAGTTGGTATCAATTGTCAATTGAGCATAACAAATTAGGAGATGGTTGAAACTTCTGGTTTAATTTTTTTGCTTATTTTAGACTGTTTGAAACGAATGTGAGACTGCCCTTGATGTTCTTCTTCAACTATCTCCGATCGAAGAGTTGCCATCATTGATACCGCAGACAAGCTGGCAAAACTAGTTTTTTTTATGCACACCTTGTCTACAAAATTGTATTACATTAATAACATTTTTACAAGGCACTTTTTAATGATAAAATATAAAACTGTAATACCTTGTTGGGAATTGGAAGAAATTTTGAAATAGTTTGTGCTTCCATGTTTTTGTTCCGACCATTGAAAATGGGGAGGAACTTTGTTTCCGGGTGTTTTTTTTTGTGTGTTTTCCACGCAAAATCAGGGGCCTGCTACAAATTATCATCGGAATAGATTGAGTGATATATCCTGTCAAAGCCCATTAGGTTTTGATTCAAACGGCATTATAAAATTCTCAAAAAATTGTCCCAATTTCGAGAGAAAACTGGTCCAAATTATTTTAGTTTTTGAGCAGTAAGCCGTACTGTAAGCGAGCAGGATTGTTTGAAAAGGATAAGCCGTGAAACTTTAGCTTTGCTCCAGTAAAATTTTGTTTCATAGTTTTTCTTAGCGCCTTCTTGGAAATGAAAAAAAACAAGACATTTTTATAATGCTTTTTCGTTTGTCCTGTCATTTCAAAGAGCAATTGTTGTCCAATTTGCCAATTTTACTATGACTTTCGTTCAGATCTTTTTTTGTACCACTCGCAAAAAAGGACAATAATTAAAAAAGGAATCACTTGTAATTTTTGAAAAGTATGGTCGGAACATTCTGTGCTAATTTGCACAGCAAACGGCTATCCTTTTTATCGTTTCAAATTTTGAAGAATGAACAGAAACGCCTGATTCATATTTCATTTTCAGACCATTTTATATGATCAAATTAATTGTGTTTTCTCGTTTCACATTTTATGTTTATGATCATCTTAGAGCTGGGTCTAGGACAACAAGCCGACGGGATTTCAAGCCGAAGGGACTTCAGGCCGAAAATTAAACTTTACAAGCACCTCAAATCATTATTTTTTCATCTGTAAAACGTTGCTTGTCAAAATCATAGGCTATTTTACTCCATAATAAGCGTTATTTTTGACAATGAATCACTTGGGATTGGCATCCGTTAATAATATCAGCCGGTTTTTGAAATGCATAAATTATAGACAAGAAAATTACCTTCAACCGTGTTTTATTCTTCAACTTTCCTAAACATCATTTGGAGGCTTAAATTTAATGAAAACGCTAATAATTACCGAATAAAGATCATGAAATTGAGAAATTCTTCGAAAAAATTTTCAAATTAATCATATTTCATGACTTGGAGAGACAATTTTCGGCTTGAAGTCCCTAATTTTATGATTCGGTTTGAAGTGCCGTCGGCTTGATGTCCGGCACCCCTTAGAGCTGAGCTCAAATATAAAAGATTTAACTTGAAATTATTTTTCGCCGAGTAGATGATTGGAGTTGAATTATTACTCTAATTTAAATAGTTAAGAATCCCTTAAATAGATACACTGTTTTATCTGTATTCTTAGGCTTAGTGATTACGCAGCGATTGTATTTAGTCTCAAAACAAGTCCAATGTGAAGAATAAGTTATTGTTCCGTTTTTCGAAGAAAACGGAATATTTATGCTCGGTGTGGTTTTTTTATTCAGTCAATTTTCGCCGATCGAAATAATAGTTTTCGACAAAAAATTTTTATACCCCATTGGAGGTATCGACTTCCCGAGTTCAAATAAAAAAAAACTAATGTTATTTCACACCGATACGCTCGACTTGGAAAAACGTAAAAATGAAAAACTTTCGTCTTTGCT